ACAGAGAGATAGAGAGAGAAAGAGAAAAAGACAGAGAGACAGAGAGATAGAGAGAGAAAGAGGAAAAGACAGAGAGACAGAGAAAAAAACTCACAAAACAGATTTCAATATAACTTCTTATCATTCTTTTGTTCAAAAGAACTTTACATGACTGCTCTCAATGGTCAATGGCCTGTACCTACTGGTAAAAAATAAATAAATAAAGGTTGTTTTATGATGCAAAACTTTAAAAAAATCTGTCACAGCTTTCTGGATAAAAAATGTTAACGTTTTCAACCAGATTCATTTCTGACATGAGTATACTGCCATTTCTGCAATGTAAATATCAATACAGATCATAAACAAGGAGATGTTGATATTTTTTCATAAACTTAAAAATTCGTGCAAGCTTCGGAGAACCAAAGAAGCCCTGAGACTTAATCCACGTCTCACAGATCAAAAGGACTCCAGATAAGTACAACCTAAAGTTCCTACCTGTCTGATACTAAGGATATCTCCCTCCCTCTCCTGTCTTAAGACTTTGCCCATTTTTCTAAAGGTTTCAAATGTAATTTTTCCTTTAAATTTCTAAATTTTAACGTTTGTCTCTGATTATATCTGTTTTAGCAGGGTTCCACTTGACTGACAGACACATCCAAGCATCAGCTGCTGACTACAACCTATAAACCCAGCAATTGCTACAGGCTGACATGGACTGATCCAGTTGACAAGAATGCAGCTTGTCTCCAGCTGGGTCAATTCAGACCTTCCTGTTTAGTGCCCTTTATTCCCTCTTTACCTTTGACTGGCCTTCCAGCTTTTCTGGGCCCTAAACATCTACGTCCCGTTTCAGCTTGAAGCAGCTACAGAAAAGAATACATCGTCCCTGTCCCCAAACTAGGTTGGAAAAGGCCAAGTCAGAGACTTTAATTAAAAACTAATCAAAGATTTGATTAGTCACAAATCCGAAGGGGGAAATGAAAGGTCTGAAGACAAGAATAAAAATATAGAAATAGAAATATAGA